CGATCTTTCATAGTCGTCTAACCACATGATTTCGTGTTGCCCTAACGTTAATGATTTCCACGAAATGCTTTCTCTCTTATAATTACAAAGTTGGTCGCACCCTACCCTATCTTGGTTCGGCTGGTACCTAGTTGACCGTGAACTAGACAATGCGGGACGCTAGTCCATAGCAATACCTACGCAATATTACCTATTACAATATTAATCAATTTTCTATTCTAAATTGTATTATTATCGTCTCCCCGAGGTCGTTTAAATTTGGTACTAGTTGGTTTTGGTAACTTATTGTGTTGTTTGCCCGAATCGGCCGAATCACAGTTTATAATTAAGAGGCGTGMGCACGGGGTGGGCCACATATTGTAACCTGATACATTTTTACTTTAATAATAAAATTACAAATTATAATTTTCCATGATAATCATTAATTAAATACATTGAAAAAATTAAATTGATAAAATATCTTTAAGTATCTCTATAAGTACCTATATAAATCAAAATCATATTGGTTTGGCTCACCCTGTCAAAAAGGTCTGCGCACTACGCCTATGGCCTGCACGTGACCAGTTTTTTGCTCAGTAACATGTTTTACAGGAAAAACTTTAACACCTTGTAGTAAAAAAAAAATTTATTAAATCAGACCACTACGACGAGTGAAAGTTTATTCTGTAAATAGTGTTTTACGCGAAAAAATCATGCTTTTCATTTTTGGTCGACGATACCGTTGACATGTGCACGTAAGTACCGAAGTTGAAGGTTAATTATTAATAATATTATCATATATATTATAATCTCACGATCCTTTGACGATATGTGTAAGCGAATATTCTGCAGTCGGACTTGGCAATAGCCTGTATACATAGGTATTAATATAATATATTATCATGGATTTATAAATGTATTATTGAATCAATGAGTAATGACATTATATAAAATACGATTTTATAATAATATGCGATGCTGCAGATGTCTATACAAACTAACTTGACTGTATAGTTAATAATTGTTAATAGTTATATACACATATTACATATTATAGTATTGAAGACCAAAACATGTGGGCTACACATTTCTGGAAACGATTACAGAACCACATCATCTCAGGATTATATTCGACACATTGCAACGGTAGCGAWAAATTATTGCGTTCGGACTCGTTTTACCACCYCTCTCGACTCAATTTAAAAATAATAATTTACTTTTTTTAATGATCAATGAGAATGTGGATCATATAAAGACTGACTGCGTTCTTTTTAATTTCTTAAAATATTATAATAAGCAATTCRATTGAAATTTTATCGTAGTTAATGACTATATTGTACAGGCGTACGTCGCGCGTATAACGATCACGCATACAAATAATGTTCCGAAGATGTAGATGGAGTATAGTAAAATGTAAACGTAAGGCTTCTGATGACATTCATGAACCACCGCGAAAAATAATATGCAAAGAATTATTGTCATCCATAGACAATAATACAGAAATAGGAAGCAATGACGTAAGTTTAATAAGAAAGTCGATGTATTATGAACGTAGAAAACATCTACCAACTTTACCAAAAAGTTTGGAAGACGCTCTAAATTTAGTATCAAATTGCGATATTTTTACCTGTCAAATTATTATTATTTTCCTTTAATACATTGTTTTTTACCTTCTAAAATTGAATCTTGTTCATTAAAATGTGGACCAATATTAAAAATTTATGTATGAAGTTATAGGTTAGGAATCACCCGCTAAATATAAATTAATATACTGTGGCTACTATTAAAATATCATCTTAATTCTGTCACTATGACTTATATAAAAAACGAACGTGAATCAAAATATTAAAACAATTTAATTTTACTACTCATKGTTCATACATTAAGTTGGACTATTATGTGTAATAAATTGTAGGTAGGATAAATAGGACTTAATAACTTCACCGTAACATTCGTTTCGTTTAGCTTTTCTTAGTGCATCGAATAGTAGTTCTGCAGTAAGTACTATTGCTTAATATTTTGTCGTCTAATTTCCAATTTGACRAATTTTGGTTGTTTTTATATTTTTACTTTGCCTACCTATTGTCTTTTAAACTAGGTATCTGTTAAAATATGATTATATGCAATTTATTCACTGTAGGCCAAAATGTCGGTGAAAATCAATAAACAAAAATAATAAATATTA